GCCTGACCCTATATCCGCTAACATAGCTCGTTGAGGGAGGCGATGGCTTGGCATAAGTAACACATGTCCTAACCATCTCAGTCTTTGTAGCTTCACGACTTCGTCGATTGATTTCCCCTGTTTACCTAGAACTCTACGCCTAACTTCAATGTTGCTCACCTTATTAAGCCACTTTACACAGGAAATAGAACGCAGGCACCTATGATCAAAGACAGTTAGTCTGTTCATGTCTTCCACTCTCAGTGGCCATGTCTCACAACCATAAAGGAGGACGGAGCGGACTGATGAGCAGTACACCCGCCCTTTGGTCGATAGTCGAACATCTCGTCTACACCAGAGTCGGCGTAAACTAACAAATGCGAAACGAGCCCCCTGTATTCGTGCTGAGATTTCGTCAGAGATCAACCCGTTGGGGCTGATGGTACTTCCCAAATAAGTGAAGCGGTCAACGTCCTCTACCACTTCACATCCTATTTCTAATTTAGGAGTCAATGTAGTCCAGTCCTGTAACATCATCTTGCATTTAGCGGGAGCGAATCGCATGCCAAACATTCGTAGATTGCAGCTCAAGGTGTTCAGAAGACTCTGCATTTTGACAGCGTCCTCACCTAGAAGGAGTATATCGTCTGCATATTCCAAGTCAACAAGATTATTCCCTGGTAGGAAGTCAATCCCTGAGTCGCTGAAGTCACCTAGGGTTAAGTCCATTAGTACATCTACGATGAAGTTGAGTAGAAATGGTGACAATTGGCATCCATGACGGACACCACTAGTCGTCACCACTTCAGGTGACAACTCGCCGTAAGCTCTCACCTGGCTGACTGCATGAGTTTGAGTAGAGTGAGTGCTTTGATCTGTGCAGTGTATTTTCTCGGCATTCCTTTTGCAGCCAAGCATCGCCAAAGTACATCTAGGTCGACAGAATCGAATGTCGCCTTTAGGTCAAGAAATATAATGACTGTTGGACGCCGGTAGGAATGACTATGTTCTAGAATCTGTCGGAGGGTGAACATATCATCAATACACCCTCTTCCTGGTCTAAAGCCTGCCTGGCTCTCTCGTCTTTGTGCCTCCCGAGCACCACTCAGTCTACGCATGATTATTGAGCCTAGGACTTTAGATACCACTATATTAGTCAAGCTAATCCCTCTGTGATTATCACAGGAAGACTTGTCTCCCTTCTTGTATATGGGGATAATCAATGACTTACACCAACCCGACGGGACTTCTTCTGATTCCCAAACGCTGCCTAGTACCCTAGTTAATGCAGACAGTAAACTGTCTCCACCGTACCTCAATAACTCTGGAGTCATTCCATCAGGTCCCGCTGCTTTGCCTCGTTTCAGAATAGTGACAGCCTTAGTAACCTCAGTTAGGGACGGAGGACCTGTGTCTACATCCCATTCAGGGAAGTGTGGGATGTTCGGAAGGCTGAGTGTGGCTGTGGGTCAATTAAACTGCTCCTCATAGTGCTCTTTCCAGCGTTCAAGTCGTCCATCCTGGGAGCTAATTATAGTGCCATTTTTCTCAGAGATTGTTTCACTTATGATTTGCCTTCTCCTACCCGTTTCCCTGATGAGTCTAAATAGTTGCCTGGTGTTGCCTATCGTCGAAGCTTCCTCCATCTCTTTCGCCTTTGTCACCCACCACTGTTCACGGTCCTTGCGGAGACTTTTCGTAAGTTTCCTTTTGTGCAGCTTTCGCTCCTCATTGAATTCGGAGTTCGCCGGAATAAGTCTTCTAGCATCTATCAGTTCGGATGAGGCGGTAGAGATCCAATGGTTTTTACTCACCTTTGGGTTTACCTTATTCACAACTTTTACAGCTGTATCTATGGCTGACTGAATATTCTTCCAAGCTTCTTCAGGGTGAGAATAGCTGTCGAACACAGATATGTGTTTAGCTAGTTCTTCCTCAAATAGGGGTTTAGTTTCATGATCGAGCAGGAGACGTGATGGGTTTACCGCCAGCTGTTTCCTACGTCCGTTCAGTCGTAAGCACACCCGAGCGCGGATCAGTGCGTGGTCGGTATCTACACACGTGTTCCAGAAGGAGCGACAATCTCCTACAGACCCACGCCAACGATAGCTTATTTCTATGTGGTCTATTTGTGTCCAGTGTTGGTTTGATGAAGGGGGTCGCCAAGTCAAACAGTGTCTTTCCTTGTGTTTGAAGTTAGTGCTTACAAGAAACAAATGATTATCAGAACACAACTGTAGGAGACGGTCACCGTTGTCGGTTCGCTGGCACGGAACTCCATAGGTGCCACCGACATCCTTCTCAGATTGACACAATTTCCCTACTTGAGCATTAAAGTCACCAGCTAGAACGACTATGTCTGAGCGTTTAGCCTTTCGCAGAGAACTAGACAGCTTTTGGTAGAACTCATCCTTCGTTTCATCTGAACTGCAGTCAGTGGGGGCTAGGTGGAGATTACGAAAAGGCATCGGCGAGTAGTGCAGTCCTTTCTCCTTCTTACTGACCCGTTCAGACGGACAGCACACATTCAGCTATCTACCGGGATCCAGTCAAGCAATGTCTTTTCTGCCCTAGTACTCAAAGCTAACCCTACACCAGCTAATCCTTGTGAACTGGCTGTGGCATCTCCTGACACCCTCAAGGTGAATTTTGCAGATTCAACCTGTTGGTCAGGTGGGGTTAGTTGAATAACCACACTTTGGTTTTGTATGCGTGTTTCTGAAACACAACATACATCAATGGCTCGGGATGCCAGGGTCTTGGCTAGTGATGCTTGTTGTCCTATTTAGCAAGGTGTCCTAACATTAAAAGCTCCTATATGAAATTGGTGGCGTGGCTTTAGGAGGCTGTCGGCGGTGGTTTTTCGGCTTCCATCGTTTTTAGTGGACGCAGGGTGGAGAGGAAGTGAAGAGCTATCAAGCCGAGGAGTTGAATCAGTGGAAGGAAGGCAAGATGATAGAGATGAAGATGAAGACAAAGATGAGTGAGTAATAGAGAGGTTTCGCGTGCGTTTCGGATTGTGAAGGTGATTGTTACTTCCCGGCTGCCCACACCGTGGAAGTTGGTTGCGTGACCGCAGAACCCAGGGGACAACTGCTTGGGGCCGGTCACACGCGGCCTGCTTTTGTTTGTTTTTTATTGTTTGATGTGTCTCAGTAGCATACTTATCACTCCTGCCCTGTGACACGGCAGCAGGAAGCGCGGTCGTTGTTAATCCGGGCCACGGCTGATCCGGCATGAAATTTTGTGATTTTGTATTTATCATGATGTTGGATTGAGTAGCTGCTTTTTGTTTAACCGCTATCCAAACAGCCTTTCTGGCATGACAGGACCTCAAGAGACATAAGTCTCAGCCAGTATAGCTTGAATAGATCATTGCGGTGTTCAAGCCCGACCACCACGCCAAGGTAGCAGCTTTCGGTCGGGAATTTTGGCTTTGCCGACATGCTAATAAGTCGTTGTCATAATGAACTGATATTTCCTTAATCTATGTAGAATTTTCTTTATTGATAATGTACTAACTGGATGCAATACTGTAGTAAAATGCTGAGAATTCCATTCTGTATCGAAATTACTGTTTTGTAATAAAGCTATTATCATTCATTCAATATAAACACACTGATTCTATTAATACTAAGTAAAATTCCCATGCAAATAAAAGTATTTGTAGTCCACAGCTGGTTTTTATATTGACGCCGTATGCATCAATAGACACTGATATATAGTAGTACATTCAATTTTTGCAAGCCACCATGCAGTTATGCTCATGATGGCTAAATGTGTGCGTCGGTGGCACAGTGGTTAGGACTCCCGCCGACCATGCACATGGTCCGAAGTTCGAGCCCACGCCGACGCACACTGATATCTATGGTCGGCCTGCGAAATTTGGGCTACCGATATCCACGCTGAAAATTCCATTGTACCAAAAATACAGTGTGGAATCAAGCTGTAATCAAAAAATAAAAAATAAAAAAAAATATGCTTTCCAGTATCACAGGGTTATACACAAATTTGATGACAATCTCTGAAACATCCACACTACTGAGGCGTCAAACTCTCATCAAGTTTGCTTGCAGATCAACTTCACACCAAATACGTTTACACTATAGTGAGTATCGCAAATGTGTAACTTAGAAATTGATCCACAATCTCAGTAACATCTGGTGAACATAGTTTTTTTCAGAAACCTCGAGCATTTATTCCCCTTTATGAATTTGAATAAGTTTTATGAATCCTACAGAAATTACATTCTCATAATTAGGAAGCTTTAGCCATCGCATATAAGCTGAACATGCCTTAACTCTTAACTAGTATGCACAGTATTAACAGCATAGAGAAATACTTAAAATATTGTAGGTTTCACAGACCTGTTGCGTTGATGAGGATAACAATGCCATTTAATGCAACCTAGACATTCAATCGGGACACTGCATTTGCTTTCCTTCATGTTTATGGAAATTTCAGTTCATCTCCACTATTGGTAATCAAAAATATTGCAGCATTAAGTATATAATATCAACTGGAATGGTGTAACAGACAGTTGTTATTTATTATTATTGTATCCTTTAGTTCCTAGAGGAACATAGGGCTTCAGCTGCGCACCTCCATTGCCTTCTGTTTTCTGACAACTTTTTCACCCCGCTCCAGGTCGTAACAGACAGTGAATTGATAATATTAGAGCTGGCCAGATTCAGTTATTGTAATCAACACAATTCATGTGTATACTAATATTATACACTGAATCAATGCACTAATTGAAGCAATCAGGAAAATTAAACAAGTAATTGCCTTCTCTACTGCACTGCATTTGCAACATGTTGCAATCATGAGAACCACCTACATTTCTTAACCAAGCAGTCAGCTAAGCACACAATGGCACAGTATTAATAAAGTTGAGATTTTCTTATACATTGAATCCACATAACCCATATTACACTGCACCAATCAGCGCAAATATATATTAAATCCACTTAGAAATAACCTTTCAACTCACGATAATTCCTGGCAGCCTGTAGACGGACGTAGGTCATTTGATCAGCTGATGTATATTGGCGTTATTTATTGGAAAAACGTCAAGGTTAGGTACGTTGCCATCTGTTCATCTAATCGCGTAAACAAAAGTTTCCCAGACGCTGCATTTACCCCTAATAGTTTACCCTCAATTCCTAACTTAGCACGTGTTACTTATGTTACTGGAACACAATCGCGTAACAACAAAAGGAACACAGATTCATTGAAAAATTGTGCATTAAACAAAAATCAGATTTCAAATGTACAAATAATTCAGATGAGTAGTCCTCTGTTACCGTCAGTAAGTTCCATCTGCGTACACGGTACATATATGTTTTTCCATAAGTCTGAAAAGGTTTAAGAAAAGCATAATTAACTTGGGTATTACATGTATGATCTGAATAAAAAATTTTTCCTGATAAGCATTTACAGACGTTGGCTCAGACCACTATCTCGTACAAGGGACAATCCAAATCAAATTAAAAGCTTTCAGGGAATCAGGAGCTGCAGATAGACCACAAGCCAAGTTCAACACTCAAAAGCTGAAGGACCAGGCTACAAAGGACATCTTCATTGCAAGCATAAAGGACAAAGCCGAGACACAAATCAACACTAGCGAAGAGGTCGGCGTTGAAAAGCACTGGAACAACTTGAAAACGGTGTGGAGCCAAACCTGCATAGAAATTCTAGGCAGAAAAAAGAGACAGGACAAACAGTGGCTCACTTCGGACACTTGGAAACTAATAGAAGAGAGGACAGTGAAGCAAAAGATTATCCAGTGCACGGACGAGCAACAAAAACAGGAGCTGAATGCAAACTACAATACACTGAACAAAAGAGTGAAGAAAAGTGCCAGGGAAGACAAAAGAAAATATTATGAAACCATGGCAAACGAAGCAGAACAAGCTGCAGGCAAAGGAGACCTCGCCACACTCTACCAAACAACTAGGAACCTTTCGGGCAAACGTTCGACACAGATTAAGCCAATAAAGGACGACAATGGAAAGTCAATCACCAAAGAGGTGGAACAGAGAAAGCACTGGGTTGAACACTTCAAAAGACTTCTAAATCGTCCGCCACCTACAACACGTCCAGCAATACCAACAACGGAAGCAGAACTACCAGTGAACACTGACCCCCCGACGAAATCAGAAGTCCTGAATGCAATCAAGATGCTTAAAGCTGGGAAAACACCGGGACCAGATGGAATCCCAGCAGAGGCTTTGAAAATAGACCCAGAGACAACAGCGGACTTGATGACACAGCTACTGGAGAAGGTGTGGAAAGAGGGCAAAGTACCCGAGGATTGGAAGAACAGTTACTTATTCAAACTTCCAAAGAAAGGAGACTTAAGTCAATGTAAAAACTGGCGTGGAATTATGCTTCTGTCCATTCCAAGCAAGATACTAAGTCGCATCATCCTGGAGAGAATCAAACAAGCCCTAGATGAAAAACTTCGTCCGGAACAGGCTGGATTCAGGAGAAACAAATCATGTATTGATCAAATCGCCACTCTACGGATCATCATTGAACAAAGCTTGGAATGGCAGTCACCTCTCTATCTCAACTTCATCGACTTTGAAAAGGCCTTCGACAGCGTCGATCGAGAGGTCATTTGGAAACTACTTCGCTACTACGGGGTCCCATCGACAATTATACACCTCATCCAACAGTTATACGACAATGCTGCATGCCAAGTAATCCACAACGGGAAACTTACGGAAGCCTTCGAAGTGAGGACGGGATTGAGGCAAGGCTGTCTACTATCACCAATGATCTTCCTGATTGCAATTGATTGGATAATGCGACAGACAACGGCAACCAACGAGGGAACAGGCATAAAATGGACTGACACAAAAGACTTGGAGGATCTGGATTTCGCCGATGATATATGTCTGATTTCCCATAAACTGGAAGATATGCAAGTGAAAAGTAACAAGTTGGCAGAAGAAGCATCAAAGATAGGACTTCACGTGAACATAGATAAAACAGAGATAATGAAGATTCCTAGCCAACATCAACAACACCAACAGACCACAATAAGCATAAATGGGAAGAACCTGAAAGAAACAACCTCCTTCACCTACCTGGGAAGCATCGTCTCAACTACAGGCGGAACTGACGAGGACATCAAAGCCAGAATCGGAAAAGCAAGACAAGCTTTCATTACTCTCAAATCTGTGTGGAGGTCAACAGCAATCAGCATCAAAAATAAGATCCGGATTTCCAACTCAAATGTGAAGTCAGTCAGTGCTACTATACGGATCAGAGACTTGGCGAGTCATAAAGAGCATCTCAAACAAACTTCAAACCTTCATTAACAACTGTCTCCGCTCAATACTCAAGATCAGATGGCCAGAAAAGATCAGCAACAGGGATCTCTGGGAGCGAACCAATCAGGAACCGATTGTGAAACAAATAGGAAGAAAGAAATGGAGATGGATTGGCTGGCCATACGCTGAGGAAACCATCAAGTGACATCACTAGACAAGCCCTCGAGTGGAACCCGAAAGGGAGGCGGCGAGTTGGTCGTCCAAGGGTGACTTGGAGGAGGTCATGCGAGGAGGAGATGAAAGCATGTGGACAGACCTGGAGCAGGTTGAAAACGTTGTCAGGAAACCGAAGTCAATGGAGGTGCGCAGCTGAAGCCCTATGTTCCTCTAGGAACTAAAGGATACAATAATAATAATAATAATATATAAGTAGCCCAGTAGCTTTCACTAGACTTAAGGGACTTCGCAACTTATCGTTTGTCGATATCTAGTAGGTCCATCGAAGCATCATGAAATGATAAAATTATTTAACGACAAGTTATGCAGTAGTTTCCAAAGCTTGTACAAATATTTTAGCAAAAATGACAACTTTATGACAAATAATAGGTATTGACAGCAATAATAATAACGTTCATGTTCATAGTGACTATAAAAACAATAATAGTTATTATTATCGCAACGAATTCATCATTAACTTAGATAGACTACTGATAATAATACAATCATATCAAATAAATGTATCACTTAATCTTAAGAAGCATGTGTTTACTTACTTTCACTGTATTCTCTCAATACTGATGTGCTCAACAAGCTTTTTACAACTGAATTCAAGATTAATTCTGAAAGTGAGTGGAGATCCAGTTTATGCCAAATAAAAACATGTAGCTTACATGTATTAAACTGCTTACTGAGACATCTGGTACCTGCTTTCCGATCTTTGTGACAAGAATACAGTTCATCTAGGTTTACCTACATATACAAAAGTATACGTATGTGCTGCATCAACCATGCCGTTTTTATCATGTTTGGCCAGACCACTGTGTATATTATACTTATTTAAGGATCTCTGAAAATAATGGTCAAGCGATAATTGAAGTTGCGTGAAGTTATTATCTCTTCAAGACATTGTTTGCACTCTTGACACTCCTGAGAAGTCCTTATATCGTAATTTGGCATATATAACGATATATTGTAATTATTCCAAATATAAATCTCTCATTTTGAATCTCTTCAATGTCCTACTTCTAATTTGGACTAAACGCTCCCTTCTATTCTTCTTGAAGTGCTTGCAGCTAGTCAAACAGAATGTTGGGCTGTTAACAGGTTAGATTCCTATCTCTCAGAAAGAAAGCAGTACACCGTATATAAAGGGAAGTCTGCGCTACTTTCGTCAGAAATGTTGAAATTTACAATAAATCCGAGACAGCTGCATTTATAGTGTGTAAACAAATGCCTCAAAGGTAGATACTAGACGACTATAAAATAAGTGAGCAGTTTTGAAATCCTGATCAATGAATTTTGTTATTTGGTATATGGACGCCAGTTGCTACAACAGGTTCACCTGAAAACAATAGTGGTTTATTTCCACCAGACGGTGACATGTAACTTTCTAGATAGAATAATATGGTTATCAACTAACGTGTTTTGAAGACCTTCAGTGATTTGGTTATTCAGTTTTCAGCGTGTCACCATGAATTTTGCACTCAAACACATTTTCCAGCCTTGTATTTTAACGGAAGTCAATAATACGTCCCAAACTACATGTTATGGTAGATTGCCAAATAACTGAATATATGTTAATCCTCTTAGTAATGAGCCCGATTTAGACTTCTGACAGGTCACAATATCTAAGCTACCGGCGGGTTGAGGGGGCATTTAAATCCGTGGCAAACTGAGTAGAAGTTGGGTGCACAGTCTAGTCAGCTACACCACTGCTTATGCACACAACTAATACAATATTACTTTCTCATCATATTAAAACAAGTCATCTCGAAGATTGACCCTGAATTATCCTCAACTTCATCGCAATTTGATGTGTTTCTTTCATGGAAGTTCTATTTACTTATTTCCGATATAAGGACATTCATAGATAGCTTCAACAAAAATACCGGCTCTAGTAGGTGGATTTCAAAGGTTTATTAAGTAAACTTGTATGTTTTCTGAAATACTCAAGATTTCTAATTGCCTGTTATACTTTATTATTTTCGCCTTGTCAGAATTAAATTCGTAATTAAATTATTGTGATTCAATTGTGTTTATCTTTCTATACTGTCACAAATTATTTCAGTTGTTGGCTGTGGATATTCGCAAAGAACGTAATCAACTTATGTAGTGCGTACGGTACACTATGAACCAAAATTTTTTTCCAAGAATAACCATCAGCCCGTGAAATTGCGATATTGATTTTTGATCTGAATGGGAAGAAATACGAAAATATTGTGTATATGCTCGGTTTAATCACACTTATATATTTAACAAAGAAACTTTTATTATTATTATTATTATGTACACTCATTTCTTCAATAAATTAAAAAATAGCGTCCATCAGAATTATCTTAGTGTGTTTACGATGGACGACTGGATTTACTTTTAGGCTGGACTTTCCTTCTCACATAACGATATCGGGATGCTTTACGTCGTCTTCTTTTTCCGACTACCCGACGTACGGATGCTGTGCAAGGTTGGAGGACTGATTCCTCAGACGCTCTAAATTCACTCGATTGATCAGTTACCTGGGACTCTGAAACCATAACTTGGTCATTTGATTCTCTTATTCTTGTACCGGTTTGTTCGGATCGGATTGTTGTTGTTGGTTGAGTGCGGGATGTCGGTATATGAAAAATGTGCCACCATAGAAAACATGGCAATGAACAAAGACGAGGGACTCCCGGGCACGCCGCGCAAACCGTGGTGACGTTCGTTTCATAGTAAACCTCCTTTCTCAGTTTACAGGCAAGACAATCTGTTGAGTCACTGACGACAACACTACCACGTAAGCATTCACATAATTTGTCTATAGTAGTTAACTCGTGTTCATCACTTGATGATTCGTATGCTTGTTGGGAAGTAGAACTACTGCAGGTACTGCTCATTTGACTGTTAGCAGGTACTGTATCATCCTCTACATGATTCGATGGTCCACAAAAATCATGATTATTTGTTGTCTCTCCATTCTCAATATTCTCTAAAATGTGATTAATATATAAAAACGAAATCCACTTCAGTTAGAATTTCTTAACATCAACAAGTTCACACTGAATTTACCTCTTAATTTTTAACTTTGTACTGTCACCCTTATTGATTGCAAGTCTAAAACAACTGTATGCAGCTGAAGCCTGGTAGTGAATTCCGCTTGTCAGGGATTAATTAACTCCCACTGCCAAAGTATTTCTGCAACTTTGTTTTCACCAACCAGTCAGTGACTACTCTACATAAGGACATTCGTGTGACCATAGTAGAAAATAAGGTACATAGTTCTATTGTGTGACGAAATGTCGCAGAAGAAAGTTGTCCTGCAAAAACGATAAATATCTATAAAAACTAACTAGTGAGAAATTATAAGTTATGACAATATGCTATTTAGATCTAAATACTGCTACCATCACAAGGATATTAGAGATGGTCATAGAGAAAGCATGAAGCTGATCTCCATTTCCAAGTTGTTAGTCAATATACGCTAGTACATTAACTAAAGCTCAACACAGAAAACTACCTCTGACAGCTCATAGTTGACTTTGCACATGTATTACCGTTTAAAGAAGCATTTCACAAGTCCAATTATCCACTTGCTTAACTCCTAAAAAATTCCTAATGAGTTTGCCAGCTTACCGGATAGGAACACCTGTAGCGCTAAATGCACACTACCACTTACTGACTGTTTGAGTTTTCGATATGAAACTTTACGACAAAAGTGAGGCAGTTTAGGTTGCCACGCTCCATGAGGCGCAAAAATTGAAAAAGAGAAAGGACCTATTGGAAAAGGAAATTTGCAAAATAATGAATAATTATATTGGAAATAACGAAGACTTAATGGCTCTGAGACATTATAAACAGCGAATGCAACTATGCAATTAACAACGACTCTCAGTCATATCATCAACAGTCTTACATCTCGAGAAATACAGCACATCTCATTACGTGACTCAAACCACCGGTCAAAGGCACCAAGCATTGATGTCAAGTTTTGACTGCACCACAACTAACTCTCTTCCAACTTAATCTCAGGTCGGTTAAGACTGCTTGACAAGGAAGGTGATGGCCTCAAATACATAACACATGTCCTAACCATCTCAATTGATCCAGCTCCAGAACTTTAGCAGTTGACTTGCCTCTCTCACCTAACTTTCTACACCCAACCTCTATATAAATCACCATATTATGCCATTTAACACGGGAGACAGGACGCGAACAATTATGGCCATGCACAGCCGATCTTTTCTTATTCTCCTCCTTTTACGGCCCCGTCTCAGTCTTAGAGAGAGAGAGAGAGAGAGAGGAAAAGCGAACTGCTGAGCACTACATATCTTTTTTCGATAGCCAAACATCACGCCAACACCAAGGATAACTTAAGCTAGCAAATGCACACAAGCCTTTCGTATCTGTGCTGAGCTTTCGTCAGCAATCACTACATTAATGCTGATGCAACTTCTCGAATAAATGTAGTGGTCAACACGCCCAACCACTTTACTTCCTACCGATGCACAACGCTCATCTAGAATTATCTTACATTTCACAGAAGCGAATCACATGTCAAACATACTAAGATTTTTGCTCAACGTGTTCAGAAGACTCCACATATCGTCACCAGATTTACCTACAAGAACAATATCATTTGCATACTATATAGAAATGAGACTGCTCCTTACAACAAGTCGATAAAGTCAATTACGGTTGCATTTATCAGTGTTTATACGATGAAATTAAACAAAAATGGAGACACTGGGCATCCCTGACGGACATCACTGGTCCTCAGATGACAACTTTCCGTATGCTCTTGCACGGCTGTGTGATTTCCAGTAGAATGCTCTCATTGGTGTAGTGTTCTTTCTCGGCACTTTCTTCACCATCAGACATTGCCACGGCATCTTTCATTCAACAGAATAGAATGTCGCCCTCAGGTGGAGATATGGAAAGTGTCGGACACCAGCAAGTATGTCTATGTTTATTGAAGGCCGAAGATAAGACCAATACAACATCGTCCGAACCTAAAGCCTGCTTCGTCCCCCGGAGTTTGTTTCTCCTGAGCAACACACTCTTCACGAGATTTCTGGACCTAGAGTTCTAGATGTTGTTAGTCAAGCCAATTTCCACCACTCTCCTCCAATCTTGATTGTCTCTGGGATAATCAAGAATTTACACCAGTCTAACAGAACTGACTAACTAGCCTAGTTTCAACATAGAACTTTGTACAGAAGTGCACCAGTTCAAGTTGCCACACTCCATGCAGCACACAAAGGCAGGAAAAAGAGAAAAACAGATTGATATCAGCTAGAGAACCATTAAAAACGAGGGAGTACTGGACAGCTGTTTCATTCTAGTTTGGGAATCATAGGCAGCACGCACCCACTGTGGTTTGACCCAGGACCTTCCAGTTACAAAGCAAGCTCGTGATCAAACCTGTATGAACAAATCTATTCCTTACAAACCAAACTCGAGAAAAAAATTCAAAAGAACCATATAAAGCAGAAATGTACGAGAGAAAGAATAGTAACATGGAAAAATGACGGTTTAGTGGATTTGGAAGATTAAAAAGGGTGGATGCATCTGCGCCATTAAGAGCAATTTTGAGCTGTGTTCACCAACAGTCTCCAGCTATTGGTACTCAGCATCCTGACAACTCTAACCAGTCTAACGGGACTGTCTCGGATCCCCACATACTCCTTAATACCTTTGTTGACTCGGTGCTGAGTTCATCACCATCTTTAAACACCTCTGGAGTTACATCAGGTCCCGCTGCTTCACCGTGTTTCACACTAGAAATCAATGTATGGATCTGCTCCACAGCCTATTCAAAGTTATGAGAACAGGCAAATGATCAAATATTCGTAACTATATCATCTATTCTCACTTTTATTTCCCAAAATATATACATATATATATATATTCATCGGCGAGAGTCCTAACCACTGTGCCACACATTAACGCAGTGATACACGAAACGAAAACAATCTTCAAATTCTACCGTCTAAATTGAAGCATCGTCTTTCGCTTATTTAAGCAGAATTCATGCAAATAAATACATTTGAATGCAATCTTAATCCATGACATTATATTCCATTTTAGATGTAAGTAAACATATCTATAGGTGTCAATAGAACACTATAGTGTCGTGAGGAGTAAGCCTATTATCGTTCATCAGTAAAAAGTGGCTCACATCACAGAATGCACGTAAAAACTATCAGAAAAACCTGCATTTTACACACTGGGGTTTTGGAACTTACCCAAAAGAACCTGATGAAGGATGAAATGAGTGGTATTGGCAATCAGTTGTAATATTAGAATTAAGCGTGTTGAAGGGTGAGCCGATGGAAAATGCCTCTTCTTCAAATATCTGTTGGCTAATTTCATGAGGATTTTCCGACCTAGTCATTATTATTTTCTGAACTTTTACATGGAACAGACACCAGCGAAACACAATCGGCCTTACGACTAGCCCTAACCAGTCTGATGAAACTGTCTCGGATTCCTATACACTCCTTAATATCTTAGTAAACTCGGTGCATAATTCATCATCACCTTAAAACACCTCCGGAGTTATATCACTAAGTTCTGTTTTTAAGCGTTGCAGATTAGGAACACCTGTAACTTGTGTTTAATATTTGGAAGACTGACGTCTACAACCCACATAGCTGGGCAAGTTTAGCGTGGCTGTAAACCGGTCAAATCGCTTTACAATGTACCCCCTTCGTCATCATCTCATTATCATGTTCACTTAGTTCACGTATTTCCTCCTTCCCACAGATATCAATGAGTCCTTACTAATTGCTGTGTAAAGTGAACATTTTTTTGACTTTTCCCAAGATATGACTCCTAAATTTCTCCTTGATCAGCATTATTAGTACATTTTCAGCAATGTGCTGCATACTGCACAGTGGTCATTCCTTAGTGAAATCCTGAATAATCGTCATTATACATCAAGTTGACACAGAAAGCAGACAGCACTTTGGATTAAGAATGTAATTTCATCTGTCTCACCTATTCTAATCTTTTCGCAGCACATGTACAGTTGAGATCTCCAGCCTCAAGGCGATGACGGTTAGACAATCGGTCACTATAAATCATTCTGATAAAAATATTTTTATTCTGAAATGAAGTTAAAGAACACAGTCGGGGGGACAAACACACCAGTGACCTTGGGACTGTCAACTCGGATCCTTAACTCAACCACTGCGTAATATACTCCCGCCTGCCACTACCGCAGCCTTAACCTAACCCTAATCTGACTTCAAACTAGCAAAATCAGATGTTCTTACTGGATTTAGTACTCTTATGAGTACACTGTTATTCAACTGATTTCGCTGCCTGGCTGAGATCAAGATTTCCAGGGTCAATCTTGCGTCCATTCCTCAGTGTCTATTCTTTACTTTCGCCGAGAGAATCACATGACAGCAGCTAAAAAGATTTGAGGATCATAACTTATTCTAATTGTAATATAATCCCTCAAGTTGATGAAGTATCAAACTGATATGTGCAGTCACCCAGTCAACAGATGACTACTTTGAAGACGAGGAAGTCAATCTAACCCAAACCCATTGCACTTAGTTGACTGGTTTTCTGATTCTAATGAAATAACAAATACTATCTCCCTGTGCTACTTGCTTTCCAAATGACTTGCCGTCTTAGGGTCATTTATACAAATGTAAAGTTCACTCCCAAAAATGTGATACATACCACTGCCAACAACACTGTTTTGATCATCACTTAGTTGTGAATCCACCTCGGTGTCCATACTCTGTTGAGCTGTTACATATGCTTCCTGAACACTTACTGTATTTGTACCTGAAAATAAATCATTGATAAGTCTTGAGAAACATATTACCTCTCCTTCTCATCTCTATAACGCCTCCTAAATTTCTAAGATCTCTGGATATCAAACTGACGATATGTTGCTGCAGGGCGCATGTCATGTTTAATGCATGACCCAGGTCAGTAAAGTCCATATCGCCAGTCAAAGCATGCGCATAATGAATCTGAGACAAAATTATAAAAGAAAGTTGTACATTTACCGCGTCAGCATACTGTCTCAGATAGTCGCGTGAGTCACCAGTCATAATTGAAATCCAACTGCGCGCCTTAAATTGGGATTCAATATCCAATATCGTTTGTACAAGCTAGTATTTGATTTCCACTCTCACTGACCTTTAATTCCTCCACTGCGTTCAGAAGAAAAATCCTGGAAGAGCTGAATATTTTTGTTAAGGCATTTTTGTTGCTTTTAAGCTGTCATTTCACGATGTAAACACTAAATTTGAGGTCTTCAGTGCTAGGATTGATTAACTATTAATATAGTGTTCAAAGTACTGATCTTTTGGGAATTTCGTCGAAAAATTTCATCATGAGCTGACATCAGTTAGAGAACCATTGGAAAACTTGGGAGTGCTGGACAGAAGACATTGCAAAGTGGACGCGCTATATCATGAATTGGCCGAAGTTAAAATTCATGGGCCATTGAATCGGGTCTCAGAGTCTGCCGAATGGCATGCGAGCCTCCCTTGTAACCAGAAGGTCCTGGGTTCCGACCCCAGTTAGTGTATACTGATCAAGAGTCCCAATATAGGACGAGACAGTTTTCCAGTACTCCCAAGTTTTCCAATGGTTCTCCAACCAATATAGTGTCCCATTAAACTCTGATGTAATTCTCCATCATTGGCTGATTATTGATCAGTTTTCGTGATCGTCAATCAGTCAATAGAAGGTGAATAAAGTCGTCTCAGAATTCATGTTCATGTTTTGACAGAAGACAGATATAGGTGAGTATTTGTTGATCCTTTTCTGTTGGGGTTGTTTCCATTCACCTGTCTCAAACTATATTTTAAAGAGATAGGCAGCGCTTGTTTAAGATCTATTCCAAAGGGTTAATGACTAAATGGCACACATAGTGCATCACAGAGACAGAGCTGGTTGCTGTCTTCTGCAGTCTCCTAGCGTGCCCTGTGTGGTGCTCTGACTTCAAAGTAAAAGAACTTAGACCGGGTCCATTGTTACTCCCTAAAATTCTGTACGATATAGACTGTCTTTCTTTGTAACGTGGAAGTGAAAACACACTTAACCTTTGTAGCAGTAAATAATTCCCCGAAATTATTGACCACAGCACTCATCACTGAAAATTGGGTGCCGACACTCACTGTTTATTTCAACTTGTTTAGCTGAAGGCTTCTGGTCAATCGTCCACGCCATTTGGTACTCCGTCGTGTCACAGTGGTTCGTTCGTGCACGATTCTTAACTTAACGTGTTTATTTTTGAATATTAAATAAAAATTGTCCATTCGCCTCCACGAATGGACAATTTTTACAATATTCAAGTTGAGTACACACACACGAAAATAAAGTACAAATCAAAACAAAAAATCAATAGAAAAAGTACAAAATAATGAATAATAAATAACTTAAGTAACCTTCGTAAAGATGAATAAATGTAGGAAAGTAAATTACTCAATTGAGCTATCAAAAGTAATCGACAGAAGTGTGGAAAAATTAGCACAGCAGCCCATGTTGAACACAATGATGTGCACTTATTCCGAAGCACTGTCAGTTAGAAGTGTTTGTACATACATATGCACCGACACTATCATGATCATAGCACAAGACACTTGAGTTCATGGCCGACTTTTTCATTGTGGACGACAACACCGACGACGACTGATTGATACCAGTTGATGAACATCATGAAATGTAATACAAGTCTGTAATAATTTTGAGCATGTGAATGTTGCTTGCAAGGGCAAGGCATATATCCCGGGAGATAGCTGACACAGTGTCAACACCAAACGCGGATACTAATATCTCTAATGTATTAATATCTGATTATCACAAAGGTGTCTCTCATTGCATACAATGTCCAAACCAAATACCATACTTCTTCTATGGGGTTTTGCGGTTCAATCGTTTCTGTGGGATTTCTATGTGAGCATACACCGTAGTAGGACTGACTACTGCGGTGCGTTCGTCATTTCTCATACTCAAATCTCGAGCTTGTGAGATGGAGCTAAGGGTGTTAAGTATTAAACCTAGCGTGCCAAATCGTGGTGTTTGAAGTGAGTGTCGATAGTCTCTTCAGTTTCGTACGATCCTATCGTTTTATAAATGACTTTCTATGTGGGAAACCTCTAGTGTTTGGAGTGGAATGGCAGCATCTAAGCATGTGTTCGACTTCTGGCAGAAGATTCTTGGAGCTCTCAATAATAATTAATAATGATTTGCTTTATTCAAAAACAGTACTTGTGATACAGAATAGAATTTTCAGCATTAATCACAATGTTATTGCATCTAATTTCCTCAAATTATAAATAAAAATTAATCACTCAGAAAATTTTCCACATTTACAATAGAGGTAGTGTCAAAAACATGCAGCATATAAAATGGAAATAACAATAATAATGATAACAGCTAGGGTAATAATAATAAGAATGCAAGTGAAAAATGCCGTTGGCTTGCGTCATACAGTATTGTCAATGTGGTATGGAAATCCTAACATGTTTAAAAATATTGAATATAATGTTCTTTTTACATGATATGGTGAGGGGAAAAACAAAGATTACAGGCGTCATGGAGATAAGTTGGTGTTTGCAATTCTGAGAGTAGAAAACAGAGAAGTAACAGGACCATAAATATAATAGAAATAATAAAAGTAAAACTTGAAGGTATATAAGGATGGATGGAGGAAATTGTTTATTTACTAGATGAAAAAAGGTTAGTTAATTCTTGTCTGACACTATTTTCATCACATAAAATACGTGCCAAGTATGGTATTGTAGCGGTAAATATTTCCCCAAAATTATTGACCACAGCAATCACTCATTGAATGCTGACCCTCACTGTTTAAGTCGACTTGTTTAGCTGAAGGCTTCCGGTCAAGCAACCCGCCATTTGGTACCTCGTCGTGTCACGTGCACGATCACTAGCTAGCTAAGCGTTCGTCTAACGGCTGGTTTTGGTTACTAAATATATATCTTGGTTTGGACGATCAATTATTGGCTTTTGCTTTGTCTTTGGTACGCGAGAATAAATTAATTAGAAGTTGTTGAACGAGATATCACGTCAAACCTTTAATATCAGTCAACCTTTAAAGTATCATAGAATTTTTGTACTTAGATGTGCGAGCATACAGTTTTATGAAGTTACTCCTTGTTCTACCTGAGGAGATGTAAGGTGAAAGCTGAGGGTAAAGCGGATGCTCCAAGTCAGATAAAATCCCTTTAGCAAATTTATTGCACGAAGTCAAGTGCCTATCGACAACGACGTTAACTATGTGGTCCACTGGGACACCACTCACCCTACTGACAGTCTTCAGTATTCTACGAATTGTGATAGTCTTTTTTAATCAAACCAGGAAAGAATAAGGGTGGACAATAAAGAAGAATAGGTAGGATGCAAGAGTTTATGAACTGTAAGAGGAGTGGTTGAGTTATACCCGAGTGTCTTAACTTCTAAATGTAAAATGTCAGGCGGAATATTTTACTGGAGATTGCTAACACATGGGGAGACCAGGAGAGATCAGAAGAGAGAATGAGTCCAAGATACTTAATTTCTGATTTGATTCCTATATCATTGTCGTCAATTTTACAACTGTCACGAGAATCGATGACTTCTTTTAACTGTCATTTACATCTTAAGCTGAAATCAACAGTTCGACACTTAGAAGGATTCAGTTTAAGACCGTTAGACTCAGACCTTTTACTGACTCCCGATAGAAAGCTATTTATTTTGGCACAATCTAGCTGGGAGTTAACAGCCATTGAAACCGTTAAATCATCAGCGTACTTCACAAAGCTTATTTCATCAGAGTGAGGCGAGTCGTGCAAGAAGAAAGAAAAAAGAAAAGGAGAAAGGACAGTGCCTTGAGGGACACCAGCTTCAGTAGGCAATGAAGTGGAAGACTTCCCTTTATATACGGTGTACTGCTTTATTTCTGAGAAATAGGAATGTAACCAGTTAACAGCCAAACATTCTGTTTGACTGGCTGCAAGTTTATTTAATAAGATGTCCCTAGGGACCGAGTCAAAAGCAGATGTATAGTCTAGGAAGGCACAACGAACAAATTTAGCCCCCTTGTCTAGCCTGGAAGCAATGTCATGATATAAGACGGCAGCTGCATCTAAAGTGCTTCTACTGTGCTTATAGGCAAATTGTTTAGGGTCATTAAAGGATTTAAGCGAAGGTACAAGACTAAGTAAAAGTAATTTCTCCATAGTTTTCAAAACAGGAGAGGTAATAGCAATGGGTCTAAATTTGACACATGCTCCAGTAGAAGATTTAGGTATGGGTACAACTTTAATTTCCTTCCAAACGGCAGGCACAATATTATCGGAAAAAGATTTGTTAAATAGATCAGTGAGAGAGTGACACAGAATATCAGAACATTTTTTCAACATAATACTATGTACATAATCGGGACCTAAGCTCTGGGAAGGGTTTAGAGACTTGAGACACTTTTGAACATCAAGAAGGCATCAGTTGTGAAGTATTCATCCCATTCAGAGGATCTTAGCATTGATACTACGAAAGCACAGTTTGCCCTACTATATTTCTTATATATTACTTATTGTGAAGTGGAGGTATGAGTTCCATTGCTACTCAGTGGGAGTGGCAGTGCACACATCACAGTTTTGTGGTAACTCCCTGAAAACTTAGAGTCCAGTAAGATTGAGAGGGGACATAAAGCGTAACAGAATATTAAGTCCAGTACGCTGGCACTTCTTGTAAGGATAATGAAAGTTGGATCGCAACGAAAATGTCCAATATACCTAAGAGGATTTCATATAAGCTTCGGCCAATCAATAAATCTCAGTTGCTTTCTGAGAGGTTGAAGTCCTCAAAAATGAAAACAGTTCTGTAAAAGAAACAAAGATCTTTTCGGTGGACAGTCTGTTGAAACTGCTCAGCCACTATGGTGGTCAACGGTGGCTGCAATCCCGTGGGTCCTAATGTATTTCTTGAGTTTTCCTTAAACACAATTTATTTTCTACTTCAATATTTCTCACTCACACAGTCTAGTATTCTGTGTTTCTTGCGAATTAACTGTGACAAGCTGTGGCAATAATGTGCTTCGTTGACGAAGACTTTTTATAGAAGTTCATTGCAGGTAATCAGTGAGAGCGGAAGCAGCACATATGTAAGATTCTGCAAACGCATTAGAAGACTTTCAAAACGTAAGGACCTTGTAAATTGCTAACAGTAACGACTTTTTCACATACCAGTATGTGACTACGTTCAAATGCAGAGGAAAAAATGGTGAATGAGACGTTGTATAGTAGTGAGACAACTTTGTGAAACTTTCATCTAGCGTGTATGTTTCTCCCTAATATTTTTGTCCTAACAAAGTATTATCAAATATATTCTTCTAGTGTGATTCGATGGCACAATTTCTGGCAGTTAATAATATCATGTATGCGTAATATTCATGATATTTTCTGCACCATTAATGTGCTCCACATTTCAAAAGAATTGTAAACTAGAATGACTGAGATTACTGCATGTTAATTGTGTAAATGCTTAATTTATGTAAGTGAAATTAATCTGTATCACTTCTAGGAATGAAGAGCCGTAATGAGGTCTGTCGGTTAGTCAAATTCAGCGGGAAGCAGATGCAGTAGGACTCGGACGAAGACATTAGAAAAACGCTGACGAGTGTTTTACGAGTTATGACCATATACATTTGCATAATCAGTTGTATGAATCGATTCTACATACAACAGCAAGAGAAGTGAAGTTCACTCATTCACTTATAACCATGCAGATATTCTTTGTTTCAGTTTGTGATGCCGGATAACTTTGGATGTGGGCATACAGTTATGTTTACTTGAACTTCGGAAGAATTTAAACGTGACGCAATTTGGAAACTGAGCAGTTCCCGTCGAATAATGGGAGATACTTCCCAAACGAAGACTTTCATCCCTGACTGTTCTCGGCCTATACATGTAAACAAACTTGTTTGCGCCGCAGTGAGACAATTTTTTCTATCTAATATTCTTGTGTCCTATTTGATCTGCATGCGGTGGGAGTACGGCATGCTAGACTGGTACTCCCCAGGATATGAACTCGTTACTGCACGTGAGTGTAATTCTGTACGAACACCATTGATCGATATAAGCGGTGAATTATAAGTGCTTTAGTCAAGCGTAAACATCTGCCCAAGGTTGCGCAATTGCGTATCCTAGAAATAGGTAAATCTGTAGGGACTAATGACAAAATTACCTAAGCTCTGTATTTGAAAAATAAGAATAGAACTTAGACACTGCGGTGGAAATTGATTTCGTATAAGATTTAGTGTATTCAAAAGTAGTGCATTCTTATTATTTCACTTAAAGCGTGATGTCAATCGATATGATTATACCGCAGAACGAAGTCTACATGTGGCAAATAATTGAGTAGATGGAGCGGTGGCAGTCGTAGCAATATTCCGCTTACATTGAATTGTGCCACCAACTACTTTCTCAGGTCTCATTGATAAGTCAAGCCTCCATATCGTCATGATGAAAAATTCAGTTTCACTCAGATAGAATAAGAAAAGTATGGTAAGCAGGATGTTAAATATATTTAGTGAAAAACAATAACAAGCAGATTTCTTTACACAATTGTTTCTCGTAATTATTTTGGCGATGTCGAATTGCTGTGACCAGGTTGACTGACATTACCCGACATCTGCGAACAAGTGAATAAAGTGTATTTATAAACCACTGAAGTTAGGAAAAAGGTAATGTAAAAGTTAAATGCTTTATATTTGCCTACCTTTTCTGAAAACGGTTTATTCTCCTTTCTTATTCCTTTGTCATGACAGAATTCT